TGCTTACACAGCACTCGGTGCTAAAAAGTGTGCAAATACAAATAAATTGTTGATCTAACTTAACAAAGAGAGACTAAAATACTGTCAGATTTTAAAACAAGGTCCTAGATGTATAATTTTTTTTGTTTGTTTGTTTTTTCCAGTTTGAAGGCCCTTCCCATTGTGAAACACAGTAGTGATGTTGTCATGGTTAGGGCTGTTTCATTTGATCTGACAATGGTTTGAAAGAAAAGTAAAAACTGTTTAAGGAAGTGTCAGTACAGACTAGACTGTCTTAGCAAGCAGGATGTGTGTGTGTGTGTGTGTTTGCGTGTTTGCTCTTGAAGTGTGTCGCTGCAGGTCAACCTGACTCCGTGTATCACGCTCCGTGCCACAAACACACAGCCTAGCAGTGTGCCGTTTTCTGAAGCTGAGTGTGTTTTTCCCTATGTGCGCACATGTGTGTTTCCTTGAAAAACAAAAACAGAGTGAAAGGATGAAGGGACACACAGGCTCTGCATACAGAGGCAGCAAGAGCTGGTGAATACACAAGCGTCACGCTGCACTCAGGGGAAACATTTTTCTGCATCCAAGAGTTTTTGAGGAATTTTTCATCAGAAACACGTTGAAATTTCAAAAATGAAATATGAAAGAACATTTCAGGGGATTTTAATCAATTCATAAAGAAGGTTGTCCCTGTGATTCTGAGGTGTGTTTTTCTTTAAAAGTTATAAACAATTATAAAAGAGAAGGATGAATGAGCTAGTCCAGGGGTCGGCAACCTGTTCCCATCAAAAAGCCATTATTACCAGTTTCCCACAGTAAAGAAAACACTGGGAGCCACAGCAGCTGCGGCGTTGTGGGCGGGGCCTACCCTCAGACAGCAGAGCGCTGCTCACAACAGGTGACAGCAGCCAGTACCGGTCGCTCGTGTACGTCAAAGTTATCTTTCATAAGAAGATAATCAATAAAACGATTTATATAAAGTGGATCCAGAAGTTGTAGCCCGTCTCTGCCTACAATATTTTGATATTTTTCACCCTGTTTTACTGAGCAGGTGCCACTTTTGTCATACGTTTCTTTTTAAAACGTGTTTAGACTGTTCAGAATACAAATCCTGGCTCTGTCACGTTTGATTGTTGTAATTAAACTTTGTAGGTGGGGAAGGTCAGAAAAGGATCCGATCATTTTGTTTTTCCCTCATTTACAGTGACGGAGATAACGGCGCAGTGCGCCTGGCTCTGGCGTTAATCAAGTTTAATTTTATCTATTTTCACAAGAAAACAGAACAGTTAAAAGCAGGGCTTGTGTTGACCGGACAGTTCCCGTATTTGACCGTTTATTTTGATGGAGAAAGAATAGAAAGAATTACCCCGACTCATGCAGACGAACTGACATTTTATTCGTTACGCACATCGCAGATGTAGCTAAATGACTCAAGAAAAGATTCCCATCTGAACATCTGAGCTGGACACTGCTCAGCGCAGCTCACTGTCAGCACGTACATAAGGTGCACAGCGAGCTAAAGATGTGGAGAGGGGCTCGGAGCGCGTCGCAGAACCAGAGCGCATGCGGGAAGATTCCTCCGACTGAAGCGAGACTTGTCACTTAGAAAATGTTCCCTGATTATGAAACTTTGGCTGAATAGCGCTTGTTCCTGTCTCCAATGTGGCGACACATCCACGAGCCGTCTGAGGAGAGTCCCAGAATCTCACATCCTCGTCAGCTCAGAAAGCGCATATGATTACGCACAAGCGTGATGTGTCAACCCGGTCTCGCAGTAAGACCGGATTGGAACTGTTCAGGTTTACGCAGTCAATCTTTACATTTAGAATTAGCTTACAGATGTAAAATTAATGCAGTAAAATATATAGCATTTTATTTAAATATCCATTCATTATTTTACAAGCACAGAGAGCCGCATCAGATGGATGGAAGAGCCGCATGTGGCTCCAGGGCCGCGGGTTGCCAACCCCCGAGCTAGTCTGTGCACAGCCAAAACCAGCTTAAGCCTGATTTATACTTTTCCGTCTGCGTCGATGCTGAGACACGCAACGCCATTATGCGTCGGCGCAAAGGCTCTCCGACGGGCTCACACAGGGTGACGGAGACACACCCAAAATTTAAACATCCGTCAAAGGTGACGGAGACCACAAGCTTGTGATTGGTCAGGACGCCACTTCCTGTATATTCATCACTAGCACTGCCATTGCCCCGTTTAAAGGTAAAAAGATATTTAGCGGCAGACCCAGAACAGATTGACGAACGCATTGCAGAAAAAAATCTGAAAATATAAACGTTTATTCACCTGTGGCTGAAGGAGTAAAAAATATGGAGCAAATGTGGACGAAAATGACGGGAAACTTGGGTTTAGAGGTGGTGACCGCATTAGGAAGTGGAGGAGAACGAAGGACAAATTTGTCCATGTCATAAAGTCTCTGAAATATATAAACACATTAGTATATACACTATTGTGGACCAGATACATGGGTGTTATAATGGGAGGATACCGCTGAAAAGCGCTACTCCCTCGTTTGTGCTGGCGGGGAAATGCTTTCCAACATTTGCTGCCTGCGTAGAAGTTCGCATGTGAAAACCTTTCCGACACTCCGTGTGCGTCTCTCCATTGAGACAGAGAAGTATGTATAAATCAGGCTTTAGTGTTGTCGTAAAATCCCCACCAGCAGCAAAGTATATGGAAATATATGTGGTGCAAAAGTATTTGTGTTTTGCATCACATATACCTCCATAAAAATGTAGCAACCACGAGTCAAGTGCTGCAGGAATTTCTTCTAATTTGAGCCAGAATTACTGTGCAAAGCAGCAGATATTGTTTACTAATTAGAAAAAGATGACCAAAACCAAGTTTGCATAAACCATGCAATTTGAATTATTATAGGATAACAGCTTTGGAGGTGAACCCAGTATGGTCTGAGACCCGCAGCTAAAGCATACTGCTGCTGTCTAACCCCTCCTTTCCATCGGAGCCGTGACAGAGCCGTCAGCAGCACGTTACTGCAGCAGCACGTCGTGGCTGCTGAAAGGAACCGCTGTGGTCAACAGAACCTTTTCCACTAGAGCCGTCAGCAGCGCGAGTCGGCCGCGTCTCAGGAGCAGCATGTCGTGGCCCTTACGCGTCGGTTCTATTTTCTATGCGCTATGCCTCTGAAACGGGTCAAGTTCGACAGTTTTGGGGAAGGAAAGACAGGAAATCGGACGCGGAAACGGAGCGAAGCTTCCCGAGATTTTCAGAATAAAGACACGTACTGCCTTCCGGTTGCTTTACTTTAAAAAAAAGTTATCACCTAGCTAGTGGTCTCCTTTGTTTTTCCATAATGGACGACGAAAGGTTGATCACTGAAGTGGAGAAGTACCCAATCCTGTTTGATCCCAGTCACAGTTTTTATAAAGACACGTCAAGAAGGATAATGCATGGAGTGACGTATCTGCGGTTTTGGGGCAAGATGGTGAGTAATGTTAGCCATGTTGTAGTTTTCTCCTGCTTGTCGTGTTTACTGACGAAGTCACGCGTGATTTTGCTAATGTCGTGTAACTTCGTGCTCTGTCGGTGACAGCTGCTCCCCTGCTGCTTCGCGTCTCGTGGGAAGGGCCAAGCAGCAGCACACGCAAGCAAGACGTGCTGCTGCAGTAACGTGCTGCTGACAGCTCCGGTGGAAAGGAGGGGTTAGAGCTGCTAAATTATGAAAGTCATATCATACATCTTTCACAAATGCTTGCTGTATAAGTACCACATGCACCATTATTGCTATAATTTCCACATAAATGAAGCAAAAGAAAAAAATTAACAATTTAGTTAGAGATAAACTTTATTGTCTTTATCTGACAGGTGAACTATGAGAGGGGTCGGTACAAAAAAGCTTCATAGACATGTTTTGTATTTACCGTATAACTATTAGAACTTCAGAAAGTCACAATAATATCTGCTTTAAATGCTTTGGAGTATAAACATATTTACAGCTTCCCCTTCATTGTTCTGCTCTCTGTGCTTCCTGGTATGGACAAAGTGCGTGTCGGGGTGCTTCCTGTTGCAGTGAAATTCATCCTGATGCACTGGGGGGGGGGGGGGGGGGGGGAGTAATATCCGGCTCCTACCAATGCTTTATACCACTCCAAGGCTGTCTGGCCCCAGGCCTATCAGGGGTCCGAGTGCCCCAGAAACTAAAGACCCTCTGTGATATATGAAGTGTGGGTTCGCTTCAGGCTCTGTGTCAGTAAAAGTCGGGTTTAATGGGGTTAGGAGCACAGGGGAAGAGTATGGTTCTCATTTTAGTGGCACTAAACTCTGTGGCTGAGGTTCTTTTTCCTGAACCAGCATTTTCTCCTGCTACGTCACTGTTGTGAAATGCAATAAGTCAAATTTCTGTCATCCTAATACAATCTTCAGGGATTTATTTTCTGCATGAGACTGCTGTTTGCCACATTAAGCTGTTTGTGGTAAATTATGTATGTGAGGCGATAACCAAGTGCAAGAGGGAAAACAGCTTTTAGATTTAATTTCCAAATATCAAAAGTATAGGAATTCTCCATTTAAATATGCAGCATGCACATGCATGCAAACATGCAGAATCATGGACGTAATTGGGGGGGGGGGGGGGGGGGGACAGGGGGGACATGCCCCCCCACTTTTTCCAAAGTCCAGTTTTGACCCCTGCACTTTTTACCATCCAGAAACAATATTACGCTATATTAAATTGACACTGGTTGAGCTCTAGGACCAAGTGGAAAACAACTGTTTGTGTTGACGCCTGTTTCCCATTAGAACATACTGTAAAGATACCCCACCCCCACCCGTGCCCCCCCACTTCTAAAGTGAAAATTACGTCCATGTGCAGAATTGTAGCTCTAATTGTAAATTTTAAGCATTTTGTATTTCAGTTTCAAACTTCACCTGTGCACACACGCACACGCACGCGCACACACACACACACACACACACACACACACACACACACACACACACACACACACACACACCTGTGAGGACTCGGTGGGAGGTCCACCGGCGTGTCTCTGTAGCAGGAGCAGCAGACTGATGAGCACCTCCTCCTCTCCCGTCACCCGTATCCCTGGAAGCCAAAGGAAACCAACCAGTCGGGCTCAGTCTGCAGGTCGCACGGGCAGCGGAGGAATTCCCAGGAAAACCAGTCGTTCTTTTTGCTTTTTATACAACAAAAAAGATCATTTCGCGTCAAAATTATGACAGATTCATGCTGGAGTGGATGAGAGAAGGCGTTAGAGAGATGTCCCTGCAGCAGCGGCTCGTGCAGCTCTCCGGAGCGTCTCTTGCAGTGGTCTTCGGCCCGGACCAGGAGACTTTACGCGCTGCTGAGAAAAAACTCAGCGCCAACGGAACTCCGAGCGGACAGGAGATTTTTGCAGACTTCAAAGCGCAAAACTCACGCAGTTTCTGGAATAAGCGGCTCGTTAAGGCCATCGCCGACGTGCACTTTCAGGGATGGATGGAGAACCTGGTGCTTTTCGTTCAGGGGAACGCAAACGACCTGGAGGTGCTTAGGGAAGCGTGGATGCGCAGGGCTCTCAGGTCTCCGAAGGGCTTCATAATTAAAGCTGTCGGTACGTAAACGCACCAGCATTGTCATAAAGTTTTACTATGATGCGTTTATAGTCCTTACAACTGCCGTAAACACCAGAGCTGCTGCTGCTTCTACTGAAATCTGTCTAAGCGCGTGAAAGTGGTAAACACAAACCAACACAGAGGCGGCAGATTTACCTTCTTAAAGGGACAGGCGGATCTTTTTGTGTGGAAAATAAATATCTTACCTGTGAACAACCTCAATTAGTAGAAACAGAGATTTGATCCGATCAGACTGAGAAGCATCCCAACAGTGCCAGTTACAAAGTAGTAGGTTAACTTGTTCACCTTGACCAAACTAAACCAAACTCTACAGACTTAAAGAGTAGACTAGTCAGTACATCTTTGACTGGACCAAAAACATCTGATGTAACAAAACCAAACCAAACAGTAAACAGACTGAATGAGAATTAGAGGAGGGTGTTTACTGTGTGCACCAAAACCACTCTCCAGGCCATTCCTTGTGGAAACCAATAAAAAGTGTTAATGTAAACCCAAGTAACTAGGAAATGGTTTGATACCACACGTTCACACATTTTACCAGGAACCCTACTTCAAAATATCTGAACTAACATTAGTTCATAACATAGTTTTCATCAAATCAGCAACGAACCTCAGTCTAGAGTCAAAATGTTTTTAGAGGACTTTGCATGGGTCACTTATCTTAGACCTAAAAATAACAGCTCCTAATGATAATGGCACTTTGTCCTAATCTTGACACTTAATAGTTAACAGTAACATTAATAAAGGGACCCTTATTAAAGTGTTACAGAATAATCTTGAATTTTCTTCTTGAAGACTAAAAACAGTCTTTTTTGCCTTGAACATAGGATCCACTTCTCATTTCCACCAATCTCAAACTTTTTTGTTGTGATTAAGAGATAGATCTCAGTAAGCCCTTGATCAATCAGCCTCCCTTAGTTGTTGGGACGAGTTTACCAGTGCTTGTTAACAAAGCTCCATGCAATCACGCATAATTGCTCCCATTTTCCAGCTCTGCTTTGAAGCAGAATGTGCAGAAACGATGAAGCTGGGGTGGAAATCTGTCTGCAGCCTCCTATAGCATGATCTCATAGGTTGTACATGTCGACAGCATGGGCCTGACTGCTGGGGAAAATGACATCCTTGTGTGGGAGTTAGACCTATATCTTTTAAGAGATGCGCTTCATTAATCATTTTAAACCATTAAGGCTGCAAATGTTTACGCGAAGAAGTGACGTACAGCACTTCTACTCAAAAGATGTTGCACGACTTTGTCTTCTCTGCTGCCTACCTGTTGACTTTGTGCCGGTCCATCGGCTCTGCCAAGACTAGAAGTGTGCAGACAAGTTAATGGAGGAATGTGCAGACCACACAGAGGGAGACCCTGGGAGGGTGTGGAGTGACGGAGGAGGAGGGGGTTGAGGTACAGGCTGACGTGCCGTCCTGCTGTGAGACGGGTTGTGTCCCTGAGATTTGAGTCAGCTTAAAAAAAAGGGCACCATATGGACCAAAAGTGATGCTGAGCCACTAATCATACTGGTGAGCAGCTACACAGGTGTGCACAGGCTGAATTTAACTCACACTAAGTAGCAAAGCAGGGTTGAGAGTCTGCAAACTCATTTGTGTGTGGACATGTCTGCTCTGCAACAAACCCTCCACCTCACAACGCTGCAATTTGTATGTAAATCAGCACAGACAGGCAGCCAGAGGCTGTTTTATGGCCTTCTCACCGAGAGTCGGTCAGCAGTGAATCACCGACTGCAGCCTCTTTTCTCCTCCCAGGATTAATAACCCCTCCGTTTCACAGCCGATCAGGGACTCTGGGAAAGTCAGACTCTTAGACTGATATCAGGCGTGGACTTGAAGGCCTTGACATTGTCCTGATATAAAAATGTCAGCAGGGAAACAGAAATGTTATGAGTTATGGCCTACGGTGAATTTTAAAACAGCCATATTTCCTTTCCCAGGACGGAGCAAGGTTGAGACGTGCTTTTTTTCTGCCAGGAGGAGCTAAGTGGATAATTCAGGGGGATGTAAAGTTGAAACTACCCAGATGTGGTCAAAGTTAGCCGACCCTTCAGACTAACAAACACGGCCGCTTTAATGTGGGAAGACTAGCGCAGTCGTGGCTATCAAGGTTAGCAGCTTGAGTCTACACAGACTGTTGCTCCATCGTCCACCTCTTCTGAAGGGAGATATGAAGGAAAGGAGGTGTGCAGGAGATTGGGAGGAGTCAGCAGAGGTAAACAGACAGGGTAAGGAGTCAGCATGAACAGGCCGTTGTTATCGTTGTGGTAATGGGCCCCACTGGTACTGAGAATGACCTCCCCATTTTAAATCCCCCGAACGTCCGCAGGGTGTTCCTCATTCATCTTTGTTTGCTTTATCTCTTCATCCATTCTCCAAATGATGTCACTAATGACCAACGCGAGGGGAGTCGGCATCATTTCTTCTGACAGCTCTAACTGTGCCGTGAAAAATCAGTTCCAGGTTTCACTGACTTATTTATACAATATAAGCATGTGGTTTCCTGTAAAGGAAGTGCAACATGAGGACATCGAAATAAAAAAGAATTGTTGAATGTTTTGGTGGAAGTATGTAGCTCTAATTTAATACTAATGTTTTAAAGAACAAGTTCAGTCAAAAACTTGTTATTTTTTAAATATGATCGGTCACTAAACCCAGAGGTTTCACGTGCAGGCCGAACATGAAAATGGGCCTCCACCACTATTTCCTGCATTAGCCGCAAAAGGAAAATAGACGGGGAAACATTAAGGTCAGAAAAACCCACACAGTCACATTGTTTATTGTCTATTCGCGATGGGAAAGGCTGTTGTTGATTTAGCATCCAGGAGAGAGCAGAGCACGTATCGGCTAGTTGAAGCTAATTGCTAGCATTAGCAACTCTACAAATGGCAGAACTCATTCAGGCTTGTGTTATTTGTGGAGATAAAATATTAGCATTGCAGAGTGAACTGAGGCGGATGAAGAGTTGCATTGCTGTTAGCCAATCAGAGGCGAGATGTCTGAATATCATGAATATTAATGAGTAAGATGCCAAATCCTGCCGTTTCCTTTCCCCCACTCCTCCGACTAACTTCTGCTTCCTGAAATAGGAGGGTCAAAGCTTTTTCAGAGAATGGCAAAAAGAAAATCATTCAACTGTATTGAAGGGACTTTACAGAGTTTTTAATTTTTATGCTCGCGATTGCCCCCTCAGGTCAAAAGCGTAACGGCAGCTTCAATAGTAGGCTCGTGCACGAGGCGCGCATGCTGTACGTGCACACTCCTTAACGAAAATAACAGCTGAGACAGTCAGCTCCGTGTGTGTGGCCCAGAGGACAGAGGACAGAGGACAGGAGAACGCACAGCTAATTAATTAAATAATTTGGTTCTGTACCGTTCTCTTCAGCACAAACAAAGGTTTAAGATGGGTCAGTCCGTCAGCTTCACAGAGCTTCCCTTCCCTTGCTTGAAAAATTTTTCCAAAATGAAAGTTGAACCCACATCTTTTTTATCTGTGAGTTCAATGCCATTCGGCGAGTCTCAAATAAAAATTTAAACATCTTACTGTAAAAAAATATACCATTAATGTAAAAAATAAACTCTAAATAAAGTTTGTTCACATCTAGATTTGAACCTTGATCTTCCGCACAGGAGTCCGGCGCCTTACTAGATGAGCTAAATCGCCAAATATGTTTTTTGTATCTGTAGCTTTTATATCCTTGATAACAGCTGACACAACATTCAAAGAACGGTTCGGAGTGAAAATGGCTATTTTGTTGCTAATTTGCAGGAAATAACTAGAAGAAAGTAGCTAAGGGTCCTCAGAAATGTAGCTAGGTTCATCACTAGGCATTAGGAACAGCGACAAAGTCACTGAGTTGGCACTACCTCACTCTCTGCTGCTAAAGCTCCTGATAGCAAATGCTACGGGCTATGCCTGAGCATGAACGCGCATGAAGCAGCCTGCTCGACCCGAGCATCTCTCTTTTTCTGTGATTTTACTGAAAAACAGGTAATCACAGTAAAAATGCCAGGGCTCATTCTACAGGACCAGGGCATTGCAGGAGAATGCATGAAGAAGAAATTTATTATTTCTATACATGTTTTGGCTTCCATAATGCCCCTTTAAAGACCACAGCAGATTTATTGGGGGGGGGGGGGGGGGGGAGGGAGGGAGGGGGGGGGGGGACACGAGTGAATGAGATCTTTAAATTAGCCTTTTCTCCAGAGAGGTGTGAATTTGTTCTCTAAGCTCTGTTGAGAAGTTCACAAATTTTTGAGGAACGTAAGAGGCATCCTGCACATTTGGAACTTGGCATTTGACTAGCGCGCCTCTTATTGGGGGTTGTTGGCATGGCCTGCAGGGCGGAGGCCCAGGGGTTGACCCAGGACTTGTTACAGGGATTATGTATCCCAGCTGGTCTTGAGGCATCTGCTGATCCTCCAAGAAAGAGGTTGATGAAGAATGGCCCTGACTTGGTGACTTGGTGTATTAGTAGTTACGGTCATTTTACTGGGACTATCAACTGAAGTTACTCTGACTCCTTATTTCCTCAATTTATAGGCTTATATCAAGCTCTCCCTTTGAAACCAGGGTCTCTATATGACATTATCTGGTTCCTGCATAATTTAGAGTGCCACCATTGTCTTAGCAGCAGGATGAGCGTGAATCCTCGAGGTGAAACATTTATATGTAGCCAGCGCTTCCTGAAATGAGGCTTCCTGTTTCCTTCCTGCAATCTCTAAACTGCACACTGAGTCTCCTCTCTTCACCGTGGAAAATAATAGACTGTGGAGAACGTGGAGCATGTACAGCCTGATTTTGTTTTCAAAACTGTGCGTTTTATTTAGCTCGTCGCACCACAAGGCAGTGGAGCATTCTTCAAATTGAGTCTTCAGATGGTTTCCTGAGCCCAGACCCCTAAGCCTTGTTTCTTCTTTGTACTTTGTAACTTGAAAGTGTTGTGTTTTCACACACAGGGTGTTGCCTTTC